ACTTAAATTTTTAGTAAAATGCACACGTATCGCAGTTTTTTTCACTGACAGCTACTATATGTAATCTTCCTCCCTATTATAGTGACGTGTGTAGACAAAAATAGCCCTTTCTAGTATGATTTTCACTGCGTTATTATTCTTACCAGTTTCCCCAACTTTCGAAACGAACGTTAGCCTTCTGACCACTCTGGCACATCCATGCTGCTGAAATTTCGATTCGAGGATAAAACGGTAGATCTTGATGCCGATGAAAATTGGAACATGCTCTTTCTTAAGCAGCGTGTCTCTATGGAACTCGAAATAGATTCACAAGTCCACTTTCTCGCCTTCAAGGGTACCCAGCTAGATGAATGGGACAAAGTATCTACCCACAACTTCCAAGACGGCGATATTCTAGAAGTTTATACTCGTGGAACTTTTCGACACTTCTACGTTTTGTGTTATATTTGCAATACTGTCGTACCAGCTGTGATTACAATTCACTGTGACACCTGTAAAAGTTCTGACTTCTCCGCTCTTCCTACTTCTTCCCTATTAAACCACTGCAAGGTTTCGGGGGTTTGTCGTAACCCGGCTTGCAGCGGTTCTCAAGGAACCGTTTCGTTTACTTGTTCACACAATCAATCTCATCAACCGACCATCTATTTAAATCAGGTAACGGCTAATATAGAAAAATCGACGTGTGTTGCGTGCTGTTCTAATGAAGGTGATGTTATAATTTCCTTCTGCCCGTCAAAGGGCCATATTTTGTGCCTTGATTGCTTCCGCTCCTACGCTGAGAGTTATTTGGATAACCGAAACTTTAAGTTGATTCCCCAACTTGGCTACACTCTTGGGTGTCCCGTTGGCTGTCCTGATGTTTACATCTCCGACACTCACCATTTTCGCATCCTCGGCAGCCAGTTCTACTCGCGCTATAAAGAGATCGCTGCACATCAAGTTTGTTACACAGACAACTTTTGTAACTGTCCTCGATGTGATACTTGTTGGGAAATACCTTCAGAGCCAGGATCGTTGCATTGGGTCTTCTGTGAAGGTCCTTTCGGCTGTGGTGTTGAGTTTTGCACGCGCTGCCGAAACTTTGTTCGTCCTCGAACTGTCAATACTGATGATAATCCAAAATTTAGCTGTTTTTGCGACGCTCCTGAAATGGAAGCAGAGGCTGGCGAGACTCAATCGACCGGCACGGACAATGTCACCTGGAAGGGCGTCATTTTGGGACCTCTCGAAATCGCAAGTCGCTGTCTGATCGCAAGCACTTGCAAGCGCTGCCCTGTATGTAAAAGTACAACGAACAAGGACGGTGGTTGTAACCACATACATTGCACAGTTTGTGGCTCCGAATGGTGTTGGATTTGCTTAAAAGCGTGGTCTACTAACTGTCAAGCTGCCCACTGGTTCTAGCGCTGATTTAATCTGGCCCTCATTGAATCTCATTCTATGCGAATTTGACTACTTTTAGTATCGCCTATTTTTTCCGAGAATAAAAAGTTAAATTGAAATGTTGTTCTTCTGTTTGAAAGACTCAGCTGCCTCCTATATCTGCTTGATATCTGTATTTTTCGGTTAAAAGATACTGGGTGTGTCATATTTTTGTTCCTCATTGCCCTTTATTCCCTTATATCTGATTTTTAGTGCATCTTCTGAACGTTTTATTGCTACCGGTTATAAATAACAATGTCATCCAGGCGTGGAAATTTCACCCTCTCTGACCATACTTCGTACAATGCGTAAAGTCCAGTGTTTGAAAGCTCTTTAGATATCATTGATGTAGGGTCTGCGAATATCCGGTCAACGCATGCGAAATCCGAGAAGTGAATCTAGAATTTTCGTTATGAATTCCTAAATTTAAGGATTTTAGTCCTATGTATAAGGAATAGCAGCCATCAGAATAATTTCACTGTCCCCGAGTTAAAATATTACCTGACTCCGTAAACACGGCTATCTAAAGAAAAGAAGAGGTAAATTTCAGTTGGCAGTCGGGAAGAAGACAGACCCGACTCTGATGGGAAATCCCATTATGAATTCAAAACAGGCGATCCTGTCTCCTCCAACCCTTAACAAATTTCAGTGCTTACGCAGTTTTCCTATTTTTTCTACATTTAGACTTGTCTTTAGCACTTTCTGAAATAGTTCTAATGACTACATAAATCTTTTGGTACTAGGAGGTACTTTCAAACATGTTTGCCAGTTTTGCAAACGCCCAAGGGTGCCGATGAATTTTGACCTTAAGCATGTAATCGTTGCTATGGACGGCAATAGCTTAGCATATTTCATCAATGGAGGAATTTTCAGTTTTTTTTCTCGCGACAGATCGTTCCACCTCTACTCATTTTGATGCCACACTGAGTTATCATTACAAAATTTCAATTCAAATTAGAGAGAACAACTGCCTTGAAATTCGTTTTCTGTAGATTCGAACACCTGTCGTCTCTATCTCAAATACGGGACATCTTTCACACATCAGGTGGATGTGCGCCTGCTCGTGTTTGTAAAGTGTCTCCATTTATTTTCATAGCATAAACGCCTGCCGACGTTTAGCCCAAAATTTAACTTATGTAGCTTTCTTACTTTCGATAAAGCAGATGGTATTACCTCTTAAAAGCCCGAATTCCGCTTAGTAGAATTGCAGAATTTGATGTGGCATCCAGCGGCAAACACGACATGCAAACATACCAGTGAAATCTGTCGGAAAGACTTCATCTTTAGGGAATTTTTCAAGTATATCTGTAAAATAGCCATTATTTACAATTTTATCTACCTTTTTTGCCTGAGATTCACTGTAAGAACAGGTTGGTCTTCGTGATCTTAGCTAACACATACACTGGAGCAGTACTTTCTGTATTTCACCATGGCCTCACGCCAATTTACTCACTTCGTTAGCGTAGTCGGGGTCGGTAAACCGGTGTCCTGATGGAAATAAAGTTCTGAAAGAAGCACTTAAAAGCTTTTCAAACAATCCTCTTAATCGGGTAGTCAAGCAGAATAGATGCTGAAATGTAGTTTTGTCAAACAGGATGAATAGCGAACAGTTACGTGGTTCGAGTGATAGTGGGTTTCGATCACTGTTTTTTTCTAGAGTTCAGTTTAATTCCATTATTCACTATTATCTAATGAATATGAATGCCTGAGCTCCGATTTCGGCAAAGGATGTCATCTCCCTATATTTGTTCGGTAACCTCGTGGATTCGGAGTGCCGATTTGTTGGAATAAACATAGTCTTCAAAGACAGACAATCTGCTCCGCAGTTTCGCTGCGTTATCTCCGCAAGGGATGAGTCACAGGATGACACTGCATCGGGTCAAGAGAATAAAATACCACTGTGGAACGGGAAAATCAGGTAATGTTTTGGCTACCGAGGCGGCAGACGAAATGCTTATGCCAAAACGCAACCTTAGTTAGGTTGTGTGCACTGCAGCCGCAAAAAGTTTGTCAGTGTCTGAAGATTACCACTAACGCGGAAATAAAGTTGGCACACTTTTTCTATCAGCTGTATGAAAACGGCCACTCCGATCTCTCAAGCGTGTGCAGTCGAAAATACAGTCTTAATCATAAACTCTGTCGGTTTAATCACCACGCATCGATCTGCTATCATGAACCCAACTGCATGACTTTGCAGTGGCTGCAATTTATCCAATCCGACTGGCCATACGAATACAGCTTGAGTGCAGGTCTCGAAGGTGATTAAGTAAATGGGAAAGACACTTGTTGCCGACTCGGCCGGTCCTGGTCAACGAGATTCAGTCTGAACGAGAGTCCAATCTAAAGGGGTCAATGGCGTGATTATTTGAAGAGCTACTTGGCCCATCTGGACAGTTTCAGCCCCCACAAATTAAAAGTTATGTAAACATTCAAGAGTCGTTTGGCCTCAAAGCTTGGGCATTTGATGTTCAAAAATAGGCAGAGATGACAGAAATGTTAGTAGTTTACCTTTGCCTTTACACGTCGTCGCTTGTCAGTGGTCTGTACGGAAATAATGTATGTTTGAGGGCGGCCAAGTTCTCCAAGTTGTGCTTTCGAGTGCAACATAGTGTTTGTATATTTGAGCTTCCAACATCAGGGGTCTGTTAAGACTTTAAAGTTTACCTTTCACATTCATCGCCCGCACGCCTGGATCAGGTTCAAAGATTCTTGCCTTTCGACGGTACATATTACGTGAACCGAACGCTTTTCCCGGAGCTTTCTTGGGAATTTTGCGTACACACGAGACCCTGGCAGTTCCTGCGATCGCCTGCTCGAGCTCTTTCTCTCTAGTGTTTTGGTTCATAAACCTACCTGCAAGAAAGCGGCGACAACCGGTCTAAGTCAGACTTCGTAATGCTTCGTAAGTTATTCGTCGTAACAGCCATTGGGTCTTTGCGTCCTAGTAAGCCTATCTTTACTGTCCTATATTTATATAAGGTCTACAAGCTTTATCTTACAATGAGCACTTTCTGAAGGCATTTCCATTATCTGTCACCCGTGGATACGTCCAGTAGTGAGCAAATGGCCCATCATTTTACGTAGAGTCGTCTTTTTGGAATGTTAGCACTTAATCTAATTAAATGTACATTCACCATCAAGCTCATGAGACCCTTTAGGGCTGCAGAGTCTCGTAGTAACTCATTTTTCATTGGAATAAGCGAAGGTGCCATCGAGCAAGTTTGCTGATGTTTTTTGAAAAGTTTTTCGCTCAAATGAGGCTCCATCCCCCCTCCTCCCCCCCC